CTGTTTCAGTTATCTGAGTGACGGGAAGTGCGCATCGACGACTGAGATCGTTTTCACCTTTAAGTGTGAAAAGTATCACCGACTACGCGTTTAGTGACCTTTAACCTCATTTTCCGAGTAACTTAGGAAATCGGCGTCGTGTAACATTTCGCTGAGTGTGCTGCACGCTGCAGTGATTGCTCGCTGGTGGTAGATATTGTCAGTTTGTACGGTGGTTTCTATTGCGCCTAGTCTGACTCCAAAACTAGGGCTTAAGCAGCAATAGAAGCTTTAACTACTGGTGGAAAATTGTATGGTGCAAAGTGTGCATTAAATTGTGCCCTGCAAAAGATTTTTACCTATTTTGACATTTCATAATACATATTTTTCCGGCATTTAGAAATGAGACATCTCGATTTCTAAAAAAATATAACTACCAACGCTCTCTTAACTTCCATACAATTTCAACCGTCGCACAAATAAATCATAGTTTTCCTATCTCACTGCTAGATAAGTAAATGAATGTTCATCACACGTAAATTAAGTAAAACAATATAATAATAATAATTAATAATATAATATAATAATATAATAATAATAATAATAATAATTAATCCGTCGAGATCAATCCGTTGGTGGTCTCACGTGAAGTCGGGAAGCCCGACACAGTGGGCGGCGGCGGGCGGTCCCGCCACGCACGCGCTGGTGCCTGCTGCACCGCCCCGCCCCCGCCCGCTCATCCGTGCGGGCGGTCCCCCAGGGGGCCCCGTTGGATTAACCTCCTCTCGGGTTATCGGCCCAGAAATCGCCACCGCCCGGCCCGGCCCGGCCCGGCGCGGCGCGCAGGCGCCCGCTCTCCCGCATGGCGCTCGGCGCTGGTCAAGCCCATCAACGCGAGGCTCGCGCCGCGCCGCCGGTTATAAATCTGTCCGTCATAAAATTGATCCCGCCGTGGAACAACCAATGCGGCGGCTGCAGCAGAATTACTTACAACCGACACCAGCCAGGATTCCCAGCCCAATTCACATTCGATTACGGGATATAGTTTTCCGTATTCCGTATCAACTGTATTCCACTCATTTCTTGCTGTATTCATAATTCAACTTTTATGTGGCGTAGGGTAGGGGTCACAGAATTATGAAAACGTGAACAGAATTCACTTCTCTCCGAAGCACGTAACACAGTTTTTAACTGTTTTTGGCGTAAAAAAAACAACTGTCGAGCGGCAAACGTGAGCCCCTTTTGCCTCAACATTCGTGTGAGTTCCGTTTTACTTATCCGCCCACAAAAGTGACTGGGAGGGTGAATTCTAACGTAATGGCTAGCACAGAAGCTTCCATCGCCGAGATTCGGGTTCAAACCGGCCAAACCATGTGAAATTTGTGACGCACTGGAATTGCTCTCGGCAGGTTTTCTCGCAGTTTTCCCGCTCCCTATGCCATGCATGCCTCCATCCCCTAACAATCATTGCTAATATCTACTCTCTAGAATCTTTAGAACATCACTCATGGGCCTCCATGACCGTCCTGGTCGAAGGACCCCCCCCCACATAAATAAATAAACGAGCGTCTATGGCCACAACCGGACGAGTACCATCGTATACAAAAACCGTCAACTACCAATTTTCTTGCGGATCATGTAAAGGCGGTCAGTCGACGGGCCAATGGCGAGAAAGGAATGGGGCTCCGTCTACTGAGCTCACAAGTGAGACTGAGAAAAGCGAACGGGCAAAATTAGGCGCATGGACGCCGACGGGAGGCGGTTTAACCAAAGATGTGCAAACACGGACGGGGAAAACGCGCAGAACCCTCAGTTCTACCGTACCTTTCATTCTCCAAGTACAGACGATTACCAGCCACCAACGAAATCCGTGCGCTCGCTCATTTTCTTTAAGATATTTGTTCCTGATAGAGCGAATCTTGGAGGTCACTGCGCGTAAGCCTGTCAAAGTAGGGTTACCACAGGTGTGGAGCAAAATTAGAGCACACTTTGCGCAAAGGAGGATACAACATATTTTCCACATGCTTTAGATAATATTTACATGATATATTGCACACAAAATAATATTGCACATTACAATTTAGAATGCTATGTCGTTTTTGATCTTATTTATTTTCCTATCTGTTAATGGAATTTGAAAATATACAACATACGAAGGCTTTTAAACTTATGAACTCCTTATGTTTATTTAATATACTTCCTATTTATTTATTTACGTCAAAAACAGTTAAAAACTGTGTATGACGTGCTATGGGGAGAAGTTAATTTTAAGTTACATTGCATTTGACGTTGCTACACTATATAGTAAATAGCTTCTTGTAAACGATGCCTGATAATTTTATTTTAATAGAATTTAGATGTATCACTTATCAGCTTCTTCAAAACTTCCACAAAAGACGTTGGTTTCCTACGAAGTATTCATAGATTTTTGTTCACACATACACTATACCTTCTAGGTTTTCACTTATTAATTTATTCTTACCCTTCGTCGATTATCATCCATTCATAAGTCATTAGGCACTTTATGTATTAACATTATGCCTATGCATATGAAATAAAGTCTCCGCAATGCACTGCAATTTAGAATGTCATTTTTTTAAAAAAATTTAATTTTTTCCTAAAACTTGGATTGTCCTAACAAAGAGGACATGATCGGAAAAGGGGAGGGCTTAGGATAACCCTCTGTCAAGGTGAACGTCGATCCGTTGGGCTTGATACCGACTCGAATATTGGGTGACTGAAGGCGCCTTCGGATTACCCAATGCACGTGGGCCATAGGAGAACCGAGGTTGGGGGTCTACCGACTTCCCTGAATTTGAGATATGTTGTAAGTTGCTTGTTTTGCTGAATTTGAGAGACGATATTTGTTTGTTAGCGAGTTGTTTTCTATGGTACACATGTAAAAGATGTCAAATCACTCAAAATACTGGTGTAAATATTTACTCATTGTGAGGGTTATACGTCACGGACAGCGCTGTTTTAAAATCTCTCAGAATTTCGTATTTCAACCTATTATTTCAAAATTATGCTTAAAGTTTTGCTTGATTTTGACCTACGAACATTCCAGCAAATTGTAAATCATAATTTTTGTAGCCATAAAAATACATTCATCTCAACAAAATCAGTAAGAACTATCAATGTCCTCATAGGAAACACTGGGATTTATTGTTCAAAATAGTACGAATCAATTTGCAATAATCACACTGCACTGGATGGTTATTGGCAATTCGACCAAGCAATACTTCTTTAATGTTAATCAAATTCATTATACGATTGTACTGATTATTAGAAAGATTTCAGGAGCAAATTAATTGGATATACAAAAACAATGCTTCTAATTTACCGCATATCTTTTGCAGACGGACCATAGAGTAAGAAAATACTTATTAATTAAACAATATATTTCAATAAAATTATTATGCTTTCTATTATGCACAAATTTCAAGGAAAATACAACCGGTAGTCGGCATTTAACGCAGTGGTTAATTTTTTGGAACAACGATATTCAATCTTATTTTTCGTGAAAATTAAGATTTGGGAAATAAAAGGGAAAAATAAGACGGTATCTTTGACAGATGTCTTACGTTCGAGTAAATACAGTGTAGTCTTTAAATTCCCATTCGTGATACATTAAGAATATCACTATATTTCAACAACCCTTAGAGGCAATAAACTACCTATGAGTAATTTTTGCGCGTAACATACAATAAATTTTGATCATATTTTTTTATGTTAAGGAATAGTAATAACGAGAGCCGTTCGGAGGTAGGGTTTTATATTTGAGGAAATGCGGAAACGGGTATTTCCTGCACAATCGCGGCCTTGACAACGACGTGCGGTGCGGTGCGGAGCGGCGCCGAGCAGCCGGCGGTGGTAAATCCGACCTTGACCGTGACCACGGCAAAGGAGTCTCAGCCGAGCGGCGGCATCTTGGTTCGGACTTCCGCGCGCCGCTTTAAATCGTCACGTGACTCCTCGGCGCCCTCGGAAGATGTTATTTACCTGACTTCGATGGAACGTTTCCGCAAACTTTCCTATGTAGAATCCTTGGCAAAACAAACGTTTGGTCGAATGAATGAAATGGTCTGTAGGTTGGACAACCAAAATAAAGTGATTGGAACTTAACGAACCTGCCTAAATTGTTCAATAGGCAATTTGGGTGGCGATCTTTGTAGATACAATAAATGTGATTTCGTTAAATACAGATTTTGTAATATCAGTCAGCCTTTCATGGAAAGCGAAGTTTATATAGTACGAATTAATCCTTCACATTGCACAAAACGAATAACTAAAAAGAGAAGTTCAACATATACTGAAAATCGAAAACCCCAAAAATAGTGTTTCATGTTGCAGCACTTACTCATCAAGACTAATGAAATGAGGGAGGTTCATAAATTCTGTAACAATTCAGTCGCTAGAAATGTCAAAAATGTCGTATTATTACAGATATCTGTGCATGTTTTAGAGGACTGTAACAGGAAAAGCTCGCTAGTATGCAAGGTAATAGGCATACTAGCGGGCTATGGTTAAAACAAACATTACGCATCATCTATAATTATAATCACATGACATTATAGTCATTTTTTGTAAAGAGACATGTATCAAACGATTACTGGAGATTACTATTACATACGGTAACTAATCTTTTGATTCAGAGCAATTAATCTTCCAAACTAAAAAAAAACTCGCAGTCTTTGCTTCATTAACCTCATATTCCCATGTGCCCACACACTTCCTTGCAACGAAACGTCAACTGTTTTAGACAGAATCGATCGCAACTCGCATAACAAAATGATTTGATGAATAAACGACAGCTTGGCGTTTATTCTGTTCATTTAAGACATTAACAATTAGTGTTTATATTATAAAACCGGTCAATAAGAGCAAGTGGCAACACCTGTGACATACTATTTATATTTCATTTAAAGAAACAATCGTAAAAACCTTATTTCTAAACGAAAACCTTGCTGTTTTAAGTTGCTAAACATTATTAAAACACTTTAACATCACCATAACCCTACCTTGACTGTGACGCTGCTCCCAGAAGACTTGATGAGGTCAATAATTTCTTCGCGGCTCTTGTCGTCAACAACAATGCCGTTCACTTCCAGGAGCCGATCTCCTGGCAGCAACCCGGTTTCGTTGTTGTGTTGCACGATGGTGCCGGGTTCGGCGAAGATGACGGTTTTGGTTTGCCCGTTCGCTAAGCGCTCGACCACCATTGCTCTTCGTAGCGAGAAGCCGAAATCATTTCTGGGCGGTGGTTGCCTCTGGACCGTCAATACACGTGGTCTCGGCAAAGGAACGGGGATGATGGCCGGTAGAGGCAAGTCGCTCAGGGAATCCTCCAGACCTCCGGATGAATATCGATTCCATCGGTTGTGGAAGTTGGCGAATCCCTGACTCTCCCCAATAGGGCTCAAACTGAACGGCGGAGTGGCGAAACTGCTGTTTGTTGTTGTCGTGTCAGTCAAGCTGTCAGCACTGGGACTTGCACTTGTCACTGTTAAAAGCTTGTTGGTAATTTCTATATTCGTAGCGACTGTAATGGGAGGAGAGAGGTAGGAATTCTGATCAGCACTCCCCATCGACGACGGTATGTTTTCGTCACTTGCACGACTCGAATCAACAGGACTTGTCAGCTGGAAATCGGATTTTCCGTCTGAAATTTTCCTTACACCTGAGAACCCTTCACCGGAAGGTGATTCTTTCATCACACTTATATTTGTACTACTGATTGTAAGCTTACTGCAATTATTCATAGCCTGAGGTACGTTTTGGTAAGTGATTACTTCGTTTTGAAGCGTATTACGAACAAGCACACTGTTTGAATCGGTATGGTTTTCACCACCACCATTCTGCACCACTGTTGTTGTTGTTGTTTCACTAATGACACCACTCAGATGTAGTCTGGGGCCCTTCAGAATGCCCCTTTTCGGGGGTTTTGGCGGCAAAGGCGGTAGAGAGCGGTGTTGGGAGGTGGTTGGGTTGTTGAGCGACGTGAGGCTCGCTTCGCTGCTGTCGCTTTGAGTGAGAGTGTCGCCGCTGCGAACCCAGGACGAATTGACGCCCGAGGAGTGCACGGGGGTGCCTGTCGTCCCCGAAAAGTTGTGGCCCGGAAGGCTACTGGAGCCTCCGGCGTACTCCGGCCCGTGCTCCAGGCCGGCGAAGAAACTCGCGGTGTAGTCGGCCGTGATGCCACTGGGCAGCTTCTCTTTTTCTTTTCGACGGCCGCGAATTTTCAAAGAACGTCTCACCTTAAAACAAACAGACGCAAGGAATTAACATTCTATTTACCCTCAACAATGTTTATAATTTTTAGAAAAGAATACACACACGTAATACTATTTTCACAATTTAAGTCGTCAAAAATAAAATTATACTGAACCATTTGTCTTAAGAATTCATAACTTCTTGTGAAATTTGGAATGATTCAAAGAATCTATACAAACATTATCAAATGACAATATTATTCACAGAATACCTACTTCATCAAGTCGGAGTAACTCCTCTGTAGTCATACTGCCACGATCCCTTTTCTTACTTTCTTTCCGTTCTTTCTTCTCCTTTTTCCTCTTTTCCTTTTCCTCCTTCTCCGCCGCCCCTTTCTTCATGAAATTAAACATATTTACGACTTATTATAGAGCCTACAACACCATTAGGCACATGGTTCGCCTCACTAAGATTAAATGACAGCTGCGAATGACTCCATGTGCTATCGATTTTAGAAAGACACTTCTTGATTGTAGGAGCTACGAACTGCACAATTTTATTTTCTTGTGAAATACAGCTCCTGTGTGTCAGAACAAAATAGTACACTCCACCTGGATTTCATAAGGCCAGACGTTGTCTTCCCCTTCACAATAACATTGGTCACCTGAAAGCACTATGCAACGCACCGTGTGCACTCACTATCTACAACTTCATTCACCTTCAACATACTGAAAACCTGAAGCACCCTAGTTCACAACACCACAAAACTAGCACCACAAAGTTATCCACTCACTCGCTGTAAACACGCACCCGCACGTAGACCCGACAAACACAAGCACCGACCGCGATGTGACAACCACAGCTCCCCCCACCACACTAAGCGCGTTCCCCCTCCTGCGCAACATGGCGGCCACGCGCCGCGCCGCTCCGCGCCGCTTTGCGGAGTCGGTCGAAGCGAAGTAGTATCACAACTTCTCGCTAGAGAGCAGTTCTCTACTAGTCTTCAGTTCATTCGCCTTATTTAAATACTAAACTACATACAATTCTAACAAAATTAAACAATGAAATTATATATTTTTGTATTAGACTTAGACGTCTATAAAAATGAAACTTTCCAGTTTTATTATATTTTTAAAATGTATTTTAACGTCACTTCTATATCAAAATTCATTAGGGATTTCACTACACAATTTTTAGATTTTATTAATATTATATCATTTTATTCTGTAATTAACGGTTTCAACAATTTAGTATCTACTCTTCTCTATACTACATGAAGTAGGTCTATGACAAAGTTGAAGATAATTAGTTACAATTATGAAGTTTAATAACTTTATCAAACAAATATATCCGAATCAGCTAAAATATATATTTTAAAATGGAAATTTTTTTTTGGATATTTTGGAAGATCAAATAGGAAATGATTTGGAGGAATTTATTGTATAAATGTTAAGTAAATCATATTTTTTTCACTCCATTTACTTCAGTACAAATAAATATTGTACAATAAAAAATTAATCACAGAATATATTTTTACAAAGGCTATCACAATATAAGTACAAAGGTTTTACATATTTATACACCATATGGTGATAAAAACATGTCAAGGAATTTAAATGTAGTTTATAAAAAACAATATTATATTTTTTGTATGAGTTATTCAGCCTTGTAGATTCTGACTGCAGTGACGTTGTCACATGTCAATGACTGAAAACAAAAAAAAAAAAATACATTGTAAGAAATACATACTCTTTCTGCCAATATAATCAATAATATTATTTTATTTTATATTTTATATAAAAAAACAATATAAAATATATTGTATAATTATATGTGTATGCAAGAATATTCATTATAAATTTTCCTGAATTGAAAAGTTTGAATATCATTTCAAAATAAATGTAACAAGTAAAATTCAGATTTCTATGTTTCAATCTAAAATTATTTAGTTTGTCTCACTTTTAAATAAATCCACATCATTCTCTCTTCATCAATATACACACAATTTAAATATGTTTAATGAATTAAGAAGTACATATTTGCATTCATAAGTATCTATCCTGTTTCAATACCTATGTACAAATTAAGTATTATTTCTCTTTCTTAATTGTTTACTTACAATTTTTACTTGATCATCACTGAATTCACGAACAACCTTCGATGGCTTGGGGGCCTTATGCACCTCCACAAGTTTGTTGCCTTCAGTCGTGATGGTGGTAGGGATTTTGCGGCCATCAATTAAGGTCTGTTCAAATTCTTCTCCAATCTTGAATGTAACTTCCCGAGTGGATTTCTCAGTGATGGTCTTGAGGGTGTAGGTATCCCCATTTATCACCAGTTCAATAGAAGGATTGACACTCTTGACAAGAGCCTTAACATTATCAGCTGCCTCTGAAAATGTAATAGGATGTAATAACTAAAATGAAGACCAAAAAGTCATTGTTTAAATTTTAAAGCCATGTATTATTTTATTGTTCTTAGATGCACTTTGTTTTATGTAATAAGATCACTTCCAGCTTTTCTGATAGAAGGTTCCAAATTCCAAGTTATTAAAAACTTCTATACAATAAAATTGTAAGTGTTATTAAATGTCAGAAAAGTTTAAATAACTCACTAATTTCTTTTCTAGTAATTTTATTATATTACTCTGTTCTAATTTTCATCTTTTTTTTTAACTCCTAGTCATTTGTTCTCCGATAAGAAGAATTTATTCAAACACTTTATTACAAAATTTTGAATTTTAAAGTATAATTTGTGGCTACTGACATACTAAAATATACATTTTATAATTAAATAGTTATTTTGAAAATGCCTTCAATAAAAGTAACTTTTTCCTAAATACTTTTAAATATCATAACAGTAAAATTTAGAAAATAATATTCAATTTTCATATTCACTTGATTTTTAGTGTCTGCCTAAGGAACGAAAGAGTGAATATAACAAACCAATATTGTTTGAAACAGATTCTTACCGACTGTGTCGAGGTAGGCATCCATGTTCTCAGAAGACGTCAGCTTGTAGCGCTTGCCAACAAACTTGGTAACCATGGTTGTTAGGTTGTTGGAAGGTAATGTAGAAAAGGAGAAAGAACTCAGAAGACTCAGTCAACTGTGAGCAGAATGAACTTCAGTGCTTTTATATAGGTGCCAAGTAGTAGGATGAGACAGCTTGTAAAGCAATTGAACTTCTTGAACTTTGTTGCTGACCCTTGAAGTTTGATAAAGTACAGTGAGATGCTTCTGATTGTGTGGTAACTTGCCTCTTGTATGAAGGTACTAATGTAGATAACTGCTTATGTTCATAAAGGTGTAATAAAGCAGCAAGCTGGAAGCAAGATAAGAGAACTGATAAGTGAAATGATTCAGTTTATTACTCTAAATGTCACACATCCTGTCTAGAAGAGTAGACACTTGTAGTTGTAGTTAACTCAATTTTTCAAAACCTCAGCAGATATTAGCCTTAAAAAAAGTCTTGAGTCTGTGATCAAACCCAAGATTCTATTTGTTCCACAATTAAATGCATTTGTTTAGAGTTAAAAGCCTCCTTTTTTATTAATTACTGAATGTTCATTTATTCAGTAAAATATTTTTTTTATCCATGTTGTTTTACCTTAAGTTAAACTTTATAAAAGCAAGTATTAATTAATAATTATTATAAAACAGATCTATAAATAGAACACATGTGATCTTTTTAGTAATGGCTTACTGTTTACAACTATCAACATTAGTATGTCATCTTTGCCACACTTAACAGTTAAATGTAATATGCTAAAACAAAACTTTTGGAATTTTTACAAAGTAGATAAAATGTTTGATATTTAAATTGTAATATCTTATTACAATACTCCATTGGTTATCAAAATTGGCCTAACAGTATCATTTGATAATTCTTCAATGTCATATTATATTATGATGTCTTACAACACATATGTCATAAATAATTAGTGTTAATTCTTCCATTTTCCTTTTTTCTACTTTGTCAAGTGTTTCATGACGCAGCAATTTAAAAGAGCCTTATCACTCAAGACAAGCCTCCTGTAGAGACAGTTACAAAATGCAGTTATCAGTTGTACCTTGAACTCAGGGCAGCGCAGACTCAAGTACAGTGTCTTTAGGGTATGATACCACCAGGGGGTTTGACTGATACAGTTTTCTTTATTTATCAATAAAAGTTCTAACTCTTATATAAGTGTAAGTGCTTTGAACTAACAATTACTTTGCCTGTTAAATAATATGAGTCATTTTAAAATTTGCTGAAATCATTCTTAAACAAATTTCTAACTTTATTTAGCATATTTATTGTGGTAATTATGTTGCTTTAATATTGCAAATAGATGGCAAATGATATTTTTACATTGAACAACACTATTCTTCTAAGATATGGCTTTTATTCTGAATCAAAGCATGTTTAATGTAATAATCTTGTTACGAGCTATAGATGTGAATCTAATCCATAACACTTTAAAATAAATGTAGTCTGACTATTGTTATTATTTTCTTTATTAATTGTTTTAGTATCTTTAAAATATTTAAAATTAATTTTAGTTGTATTTTTAATGCATATTATTGTTTCAAATATACAAAATGGAGCATAAATAAAGAGTATGTAGTATTCAGGGTCATGCTTTCAGTACCTTACAAATTATTTTTAAAAAAACTCAATCAAAAAACCAAATTGGCTAAATATTGATAAAAATATAATCAAGAAAAAGTAGAATAGATTCAAAAAATTGAGAGAAACTTTTCATGCAAATTTTAATATGTAAGCAAATAAAAAATGTGAATTACTGTTGCCAACTCTTGAATGGTTTGTGGTTTATGAAGAAGTGTATTACAAAGTAAACAGGAATAATGAATGGGAAATACTCTAAAAAGTAAAAAGGGAAATAAAATACCATCAAAACTTAAGAACATACACATTCTAAATCCTAGGCATTGAAGTAATATTTTAGAAATTATCCTTACATTCTTCAGTGTTCAGCTAAGCTGTTCACTGTTATTACTATGTATCAATATTTATATGACCCACAAAAAATTAATGAAATAATGGATGTAACATACCCAAAACTTATTAGAAATGTAAAAATAATCTTAAAGAGGATACTCCTGAAAGACATGGGAAAAAATAAATGTAATAGTATGGGAAGGTAATTTTGTCAACACATAAATTAAAAAGACAATCTTCAACTTAGTCTTCAAATGGCAAGCAATAGGCAATGAAATGAAAAATTCAATCACAATTAAAGGCATTGGAAGTTAAGTTGAAAGGACTTAGAAGTAAGAGTAGTAATAAATCATGAAATAACAGACAAAATAGCGAATATTAGGTGTCTGGAAATTACAATTTTATTAAGAGATGAAGTTGTTGGGGATAGAACTGAAGTATATGATTGCATTTGAAAATACATGAAAATACTTCTGAAAATGAGTCCAGGAACAAATATGAATTTTCACAATTAATTACTTCAAAATATTTGTTTAGCTATTAGGAAAATATAAAAGAGTTAGAATGAGCATATTACAAGAATGCAAACAGGTTAATACCCACAACTAACACTGAAATAAAAGTCAATACATCTACACAGAGAGACAATTTTCAACAGAAAGAGTTCATGAGAAAATCGAGAAGCATCTATACAAGGTCTTAGGAACCTCTGGTGTAAAAATCCAATGAAATTTATAAAACACAGGCTTACACACAATTTTGGGACAATGCAATTAGAGAATGCATTTTTACTTTCTAACATTCCGAAGAGGTAGTATAGAGAAAGTGATGTAATGTTACCAAAAAAATGGTAATTTTTGGGCAGAAAAAATTTGTATTGTAGGTCACTGATATTGAAAAAGTTAATAATTCTATGTACATCTGTCAGTCCATCTGTTTGTCCGTGTGACCATCTGTCTGTCTGCAAACCACACTAACACCCAATCGATAAGCAGGATTTTCACCAGAACTGGTATTCCTAGATCATTAATTACATTTTTTTGATCAGATAGAGCAACATTTATGTATAAAAATAGCATGAGAGTGATTTTGGTTGAATCCTCTAAATTTTCAAAAATTGTAAGAGCAGTTTCTTGCGACTTCAATATTGAAAACAGCAATTTTTTCTTCAAATTAAGTTTGTTATTCACAAATAGTTCCTTAATTAATGTCATGTTCATTGTTTTGAATGTATTAATGAAAGTAGCTTAAAGAAATGAGTGAAAAAATATGATTTTCTCAAAAAAAGGTTCAAATTTTTTCTTTAAACTTATTCTTTAGATAATTCTAAATTATATTGGATAATATGGTATTGATGTATTTATTGGATTTTCCGAAAATTACACAATTGTAATTTTTGGAAAATTAAACACAATTGTACATTACTCAATTATAATTTTTTCGAATGGTCTCTATGTTAATATTTGCAGTAGGGTTGTGTTTTATACTTCATTGTATTTGTGAGTAGAAAGGCTTAAAATGATTATTTATGAAGTTTCTTCAAAAATCAAAAGTCTTTGGTGAAAATGAGCTCAAAATAGCGCATTTTCAGTAATGCTCAAACAGCATTTTCTTGAAAAAACAGATAAATTTTTTTTCTTTAAATTTTTTGTATGGGTGCATTACTAAATGCACTGAATATCATGACATCAATGTTCTTTCAATGCATTCTTTTGCTGTTGTTTTTTTAACAAAAATATAATTTTTTATACTCTTATGTCCTTAATGTTTACATTAATTGCATTTCTTATACATTATTGTATTTGTGAACTCAAGCACTTGAAATTTTTTCTTATGACGTTTCTTGAAAACTCAAAAGATATTTGTTAAAATGAGCTCAAAATTGTGCATTTTCAGAAATGCTAAAACAACAATTTCTCAAGAACAGCTTCAAATATTTTATTAAAAATTTGCATATATAGCAAAGTTTCACTCCTCTATAATATTCTAGAAGTCATAATACAATTCTACAATTAGGGATCTAAAAAACTGAGAAAATGTTAATGTGTTTTAGACCCCAAAGATCAGAGTTAAAATGAGGTTTTAAGAAATGATTTAAGAAATAAAAAAAACTACCTAGTACGAGAAAGCCTGTGTCATTCTGTAGCATCACTAGTTGACCATAAGAGTGTAAAAAATTAGCAAATATTTTCCAATTAATATTTCATATTAATTTAACAAACACAAAATAATTCCTTTTAAATTTCATTACCAAGAAAATTTTCAAAATAATCAAATATGAATAAGAAATTTTGAAATATCTCAACACTAAATAAGTATTACTATTATAACAAGCCATTTCTTTGGTATAGAAGTGCAGAAAAAAACACATTTGATCATATTGTCCATGGTTGTAAAAAATTAATAAATAATAATATAGAATATTAACGTAAATGATTTAATATCCAGAGGCTTTATCAGGTTGATTTAAACTTGAGGATTCCAACTTTTTGTGTTACCCCTGTATCTTATCTACAATTGTTAACTAATTTCATTTTCTTTAACAATGTATATTACTAATTTCCAATGCATTGCAAGAAACTGAAAGAAAAGTAGGAAGCTTCTGGCCATGTGAAGAGTTTCTTGGTTTTGATAGATACCCAGGAAGTTGGGGAAAATCCAAAAATCATGAAACAGTTTCAATTACTCAGTGCATCACTGTTTACAACATAGCTGATGCCATGTGGTAGCATGGCTCCAAGAAAAAGGTCACCTTTCATTAAATATTTGCTACTCACAGTTTGCGAAATAGAACAGCAACGTTTGTGATAATCTTGGAATGTAATAATACTGTTGAACCATATATGTGCTACCTTATGTTCATACAGCACTGTTTCTGAGAGAGTATTTTATTTGTTAGTCTTAACTAATGTGCATGTTATTCTTTGAAAAGCCTTTTTTATGGTTTTGTTCAGCTGTTTTGCTACCAGATTTGCTGTTGTAGGTCACTAGGTTAACAAATTTGTATCATTGACTCAAGTAATATGGTGATAAGAGCCACAATGCTCATCACTTTTATTATGAGCTAGGAAGTTTATGCAAGCTTTTATCTTCAAATATGTAGGCAAATATGCTGCCAAATGCAGACAATTCATTACATTATGCATGAAAATATTTAAAATATGCAGTGTTTGGTTATGAGAAGATGCAGTTTGCAGTTACATTCACATTAGAAAGCACAAGCTTACATTACCAGAACCAATAGATTCTTGGCAGTTCAGAAGAAGTCATGTACTAGGCATAATTTCCAACATTTCAGCTCCCATATTGCAATCTTTCTCAGGGCAAAAATGAGGATGATGTTTGCCCTGAAGAAAGTCACGGTATGATGGCCAAATCATTGGCAACTGCATCTAGGATGAAGTGTCTCCTGGACAGTAGAGATTTTATATTCACATCTTTTTGCCACCTACAGCATGAATGTAAATTTGCCATCCAGAGAAATAGAGTATTATAAATAGATTATCTACCTTTTACTTCATACATTCATTATGGTACTGATTTTTTTATTGATACAGTAGAATTCTCATCGTCAAATAATGGAATTCAGCTACAGTGAATCATACTAATTGAACAATTTCAATTAGTAACATGTTTGAGAAATAACTGTATAGGAAAATGAGATGTTTCCTTCCGGCGTTGAAATTAAGAACAATTTTCGGGTAAGTAAATAATACAAATAAGAGCTGTTGAATGCTGAAAGAAAATAATGAGAAATATATCCTAATGTTTCAAGATGAAAAGCTATATTTTATTCATTATATTTTCATCCAAAAAGATTTAAAGTAGATTATGCCCAAATCATATTTATGTCATTAGATAACAGTAAAATATGGCATGATTTACAAAGGAAGATAAGATAAACATGTGTCATTAGAAATGCAGTTTATTGCAAATTCATTCTACAGGGTCATGTTTTGAAAATAAATTAACAGAAATGTATTGTTGTGAAATTCAGAGCTGTTTAATGAATTAGATGTCCAGTTTAAAGCCTGCATAATCAAGTTTACAAAATGAATAAAGAAAGATATGATTTTGTGACTTTTAGTACAGTTAAAAGAATTATATGAGCAATTTACACCTTTAGCCAGCTCATGGCCTAGCATGCTTTCTTTCCATTCCATTCTTCATAGTTGTATTCTCAGTGAGAGTAAGAAAAAAAATTGTACCTGTAAAAAAAATGTTTCAAGTCTCTTGCTGTGACTGTGAAAGCTTACCTCCCTGGTATTTACTACTTCAGCAGTAATAGGCTTCAAAAGCTAATTTTTGCTAGTACTTCACAAGTGTCTCCTCACAGAAAAATGCTCATAGAGTTGGTTGTAGGTGATGCTTCCAATCATAGTTCTTATTTGGCTACTATACAACAAATACTTGATAAATATAGATGTAAAGTTTAGTGCCTTTGAAATTTTAAAAGAAATTATGGTATTTATGTAACAACATTCCAAGCCTTTTCTGGCATTGAACATGGAGTAATTTTTCTTCAACATTAGCCAGTCATATATCAAGCCAAATTATAAGTCATTGCCTTTAAACTCTGGCCAAAGGCCATTAGTATCCAGGGTTCCCAGATGGTCAGCCATTCAGGGACCTGCACCATCTTGAACTGCTAAACTCAAGTGACTTCATGAAGCTTGGTTAAGAAGTTTGTCTACCAGAGCTAGTTCAGAAGATAAATCGACAGATACTACAAGCTGTTGTTCTTGGGATACTCTAAAACTCCTTGTAATTATGAATTTGAGAGTGCTAAGAAGATGTACAATAAAAAAGTTAATATCAATACATTTGAATATTAATAAAAAATAACAGGAACACTCTTTTTCTCCTTATTTATTAAAGCATTTGGTAATTGCAACTCTTAGATTAATCCATTTTTGAAGGGGGTCTGTCAAAGTCCCTTCTCCTCTGAATGTGTAATATAGGCATTGCTCTTTAATTTATTCATCATCCATTCTAATTACAATTTTTTTTATTTATGCCTACAGGTTTTCTTTGATTTTTTCCTCACATTAAAAATTTTGGGGTTCTTCTAGAAAGTGTCTGTTTCCAGTTTATCTCTTTTTGTCATCTACTTATAGATCTCAAAACATCTCATCTCAGTTGCTTGTACTCTGCTTCATGTTATAACATTCAGAATCAAAGTTTCACTTCCATCTATGCCACAAGTGTAACCATAACTTTTTTATATTATCTTTTCCAACTTTACTTCTGACATGTGCATGAACTTATAGCCTCCAGGAATATATACTATAAGTACCAAATGAGTTTACAGAATTATTACAAATTTCTTTGGATGAATATTCTTTGTTCATAACTCCCCTCATCAAATTTGAAATTTGCATTCTTCACAATTAAATGGACATATTGTTTACAATTTACCTAATGTGGTCCCATGAGTTTTTATGCACCTGAGACAAGGTCAAATTCAGTGAATTGTTGCGTTACTTCAACCTAGAGGGTTAGTTATTTGTCAGTAGTATATTCAAATCAAATCTGAAAATTGTTCCATGCAATTCTTTTAAATAATAAATGTTTAACAAATATTAAAATGCTCCTTTCAATCTTTATTCATAATAGCATGTTGTAATAGAGAATATAGAGTTTTCGGAACTCATGATGACATGCACAATTGCACTTCTCCACATGCATCACATTTGGCTCACAGTTAATATTGTGTATGTTACTAAATAACTAATAATAATAATAATAATAATAATAATAATAATAATAATAATAATATATAAAATTTAAAATAATAAAAATGTAATATAATAAATTAAATGACTTACAATTTTAATATAGTCATTTTAACATTATTCATCGGGAAATGTATAATGAACATTTCATTACCGTCGCCTGAGTCATTTATATAATTTGTAATATACCATATTAAATGTGTTTTTAAATCAAGTATTATGTATGTGCAAACTTTTCTACGCAGAGAGATAAAAGGATGAATGTAGGAGACTTTGCAAGGGGGATAAGAAGTTCATGAGAGAACATATTTTGGCGTTATGTTATACAAGGAAGAGGGGGTATATGATATTTATGAAAGGAAGTGAGACAAGAACATGAATCTGAAAATAACTGCAATTGGGTGATATGTGAACAGAAAACAACCAAGAAGAAAAGATAAGTCATGCATGCATTGATATAATAAACTGATGATTAAAATAGTATTATTAGTTCAAAGAAAGATTAAAGTTTTTTAATAGGGTGGGAATATTTTGTGTAAATAGTATAGTTTCTTGTTTTGTTCTTCAATTTTTATTGTTCATGTGCATAACTAATAAATGTCATTTGAATTGTTCAACATAGAAACTTGTGATATTTATTTGATTTAGCAATAGTCATTTCATTCAACTATTACTGACCATTCTTTTACATCATCATCCAATGTTACCCCTATGGAGACATTCTAAATAACTAATTCATATCCTGAAAATTAGTGCACAAAAATAGTGAAGTTACATTTATGTCCAAAAGCAAAATATATGGGCAATCTCTGAATTTCCTCAATGGATAATGGAAACTGAAAAACCTGATTGAGCTGGGGTTATTGACCCATATGCTGAGATACAATACAGTAAGTTCAGACTTGATGTTAGCTCCCCATGGTACCATCAAGCTGTACCAAATTTATAACTTGTTTTTATTATTAAAAAACTTTATCTTGAAAATTTATTCAGATATTCTGAACCTTAACTCACACAGTTGATCATTTTGGGAAGGTCTTGGGTTGATAAGGAGCTGACAAAAATATTATACTAGTTGAACATGGTTTTCCTAAAATCTAAAAATAATCAAACAACAAATAGCAATAGTGTTATTTAGATTTCTTTAATCACAGGTTGTTTGAAAGATTAAGTATCAGGCAGAATATTTTAACATTTTTTAAAGAATATGTTCTTACCATTGCAGATTCTTTTTACTTCACTCTCACTGGACAACTTTCTAATGTCTTTAACATTTTATTGGTATAAACTGAAATGATTTACAGTATTTACTCTATTCTCTTCAGAGGTAATATCACAAGCATGTATACGGCTTGTGATATTACCTCTCAACTCTACTTTGCAGAAACATTGATTTGTTATTGCAATAAAATATTTGAATCGCTAATGTAGTATTTGTATCCTAAATATCTCAATGAGAAGTTTTTTGACAAGTTTCCCTTCCTCCTCAATGGAAATATGAAGTTGGTCACTTGTGCTCCTCCACATTTTTTTTCCTCAAATCAAACTTCACATACAGTTGTTACTGTACGTACAGAATTTCATGATGGTTTCTAGCAGCTTCTCCTTGAGAACGAATTAAAGGTAGAATATATTCTCTACAATAGAGGGCATTGCACTATACAACAAACAGGGCCATGATATCAAAGGCAGAAACAATACATACATTTTTAAAGTAATTGAAAGCAATAACACCTGGGAAACCTCTGTCAAATTACAGTAGGACTCCTGTATTAACAGAATGCCTGCCTAATTATAATTTCATTTTCCCTGGATTGTTAGATACATTAAACATTGTTAATTGTTTTTGATTAATTGCTAAGATGGTCTCTTGCTTTTTTGTGGGCAGTAAATGTACCTTCACTTTCTGCACAAACTTTATTGAGCTCTTTTGATAAGCATAAAAGGAGTGGAGGGTTAGTTATTTGTCAGCAGAACATTCAAATAAAATCTGGATCTTTTGCCCATGCAGTTCTATTACATAGGAGTGAACATAAAATGCTCCTTTCTACATTTGCTATAACAGTATGTAGTGATACTGGAATTCACATCATGTACAATATTTATTTTATATAATAATAATATTTATTATTACTATTATTATTATAAAAATGTCAAACATTTTAATTGCTAAGGTGGGAGAGACAGAATCAGAAAGCTCTTGCGGTAATGGGATGTACTAATAATTTACTTTAATGCTTGATGTACAGCAAATATCTTCATTTATTGATCAAGTATATTTCTGTGCTGACTTCAACCTTCCCATTTTCTATATTTCATGCAAAATTACTTTACACTTTTACTATTATCTAGTAATTTACATTAACATTAGGCTAGTATACTTTTGTTTCCTATGAGTGTTATAACTAAACCAAGAGACAACTAAGTTCAGAAACATACAGCAGTGAAAGATTTTGGAATTACGTTTTAAAAATTAGATACAAGTTGAAAATATGTTGAATTATCATAGCAGGAACCATCAATATTCTAAAGCATGAATGTTTATATATTCTTTGCTTTGTGATTAATCTTTTGTGAAAGAACTGCACTAAAACGAATCATATTCCTCATAATCATTTTCTTACATGTTGCTTCACTTAATAACCAAAATCTTCTGAAATCAACGCAATCTGGATTTCACACCAGCAAATAATTCTGTACTAAAGCAAATGAAAATAAAGTCTGTAGACCTATTGTCCCAATGATGTAACTACAAGCATTCTACTCAAAGAATTGTACCCCAGCCAGTTTATCGAATCAACTGAATCAATATCTCAATGAAAGAGTTTCTGTCAATTACACACAATCACATTCTTAAAACACATCCTTGGGTTACACCAGAAGTAAAAATGTATGCAGATCTAAGTATACTCTCTAAAAAGATACAAATCAACAAATTATCGAGTTCTCTACGAAATTCAAAACAAATGAGTTATGTAAAGTTTCATGGATGATTCACAAACAAGAAGTGACTTCAGCTGTGCTGAAATTGTCAATAATAATAATAATAATAATAATAATAATAATAATAATAATAATAATAATAATAATAATATTTATCACATAAATACAGCATACACCATGTATTACAAGTCAGGATATGCATATAACTATACAATACACAATACAGATATTTCTGAAAATTAAATACAAGACATAAATTTAATTTTAATTAATTAATTTAAAATTAAATTCTTATATTAAATACAATATCATGGAAAGCTATAATATAAATTAATATTAATTTTATAATGGTAGTGTAAGACGACTTACGTTAAGAATCAATAAAAATAAAAAAAGAAATTCTTCATAGGTTTGTGCCTAGGCTGGGTCTGTCCTTTATATCCAACAACCAGTTTAGGGGGTTTGAAAACATACAACAGAACAAGCGAAAATTATTAGTACTAGTTTATATTGATGTGGATATGTGTTTATGATGCATATATTATTTTGTACTGTAGAATGTGTGGTTTAACAGGAAAGCTTTTAGTTTATTTTTGAATGTGTGTAACAAGTTTAAGCTTTTAAATTCTCCATGAAGTTTATTATATTGTGTAATGCCTTCTATAAGAGTACTTTTTTTGAAAAAGTGAAGTTTCTCTGTGTAAAACATGCAGACTTCTTTTTTGTCTAGCATCATAGTTATGAACTTCTGTGTTCAGAATAACAGAATCCTTGTTTCCCATAAGTGTCTTCTGTGAAGATTAATATTTCGAATATGTTCATGCATGGGAGTTGTAGTATTTGTAATTTTTTGAACAGTGGTTTGCAGGACTAATGTTTGTGAGTTTATTTTTGTTCTCAATATTTGTTTTTGGATGAAAGTTTGAATACTTTCTGGGGATTTTCCCCAGAATATTATTCCGTATTTTAGGTGCGAGTGGACATTTGCAAAGTACACCACTCGCATTGTATCTTAAGTTTGAATTTGACTTCAGGATGTATATGGCATAACATTACTTGGTAAGCTTGTTTAGATTTGTGATATGGGCGTTCCATTTTAGATCTTGAATAGTCAATGCAAAGGAAAGTTGTTTTTTGGACAATTTTTTCAGGCATGTTTTTTATCATTTGATTTATGATTTTATATACTAGATCTTACATCTTGATAATATCATTTAACATATCAAAACTTTGAAAACTTTGTTCCTTATTCCACTGATACGTTTATGCTTGTCTCAAAGCTTAAAATATAAGATTACTCAAATTTATAACCTACTGACTCAGTGTAATAGGAAACAAGACTAATCAACAAGAATCCATAATCAAAGAAATAGTAATATGTACAGTAATCTAGAACAAAACTAATAATTGCTTTGATACCATCAACAGGGATTATAGGAAATTCAATTGGCAATGTTGCTATAGAAATCACTTTTCAGACACCATCTGCCAAAGCTTGGCCTAACTAGATAAGTTTGTAACACTGAATGGTTATAATCCCTAATCAATGCGATTCTGACAAAATTGTTTTTGACCCCTTTCCTTAATGAGAAATCACATCTAAGAATTGATCATACAACATTAACACCAACTCTCATGAAAGATCCAAAATACAATTTCTGCAAACTCTTCCAGTTTCTTACCCACTGCTGTAGACATGCATAATATGAGAGGTTGCTTAATTAGTTAACATCAGTTTGATTACTGCACTTTGATTTTGCACTGCACTTTTTACTTTTGAACATTCACCATTGTATCACAAGGAAGCAGGTAGGAGGGCAACTTTAAAGGAAAGAAAACCAATAGTTTATTTCAAATATTTATTTCAGTGAAAATTGACAAGCAGATTATTTCATACATTGTTGAATCATGCAGTCTACAGGAAAGTACCACCTAAGCAGTCACTAATACTGTTTAACAATGTAATATATTGATTCATGAATTATTCAAAATGGTAAGATAAAAAATACAAAAATATATTTGTAATGCACAAAACCACCTTTTCACCATTATTTTAATGCAAGGAAAATTTGATTCCATGCAAACCTGTGATGCATGTAGATTGAATATAGGATCTGAATGGCTGATCTTTTTGTGACTTTGAGGAGATTGAATACACCCTGTAGAAATAAAATTTCCTAATGGAAACTTTTGGGCAGTACTTCACCAGTTCAAGAGTGCAGTATTACTTTTCCTCTTGACAAATGCAGATTTCAATCACTGCTTCTCACTTTTGAAACATTAATAAACTTTTGCAGTTTGTTACCATTTACAAAACTTTAAGGAAATTATCAGAAACAAAAACTAATGAATTAAACGAAGTTGTGCTAGCAATTTGAGCAAATTGTGATGTTAAACAACTTAACTGAGGAACTGAAGTTAATTTGAAATCAACACTTCTAAATTCCTTTTAACAACTTCTTCCAAGCCACAAATCTGCTCTGGAAACTGCTGTGGGAGGAAGGTGGTGCATTTTCAGTCTTCTTAAATGGCTTTGTAGATTCGTGTGCACACAATGTCATCCACCTTCAAAGTCTGAAAAATCAGAAAAAGTTTGATAAATTTTATGTCAGCATCACTTTTCTTACTAGTGAATAAAATCAAGTTTTCTAAAAATCTAACTTGTTTTAGAAACTATTTGTCATTGCACTTCTTACAAAACTTGCTTTTGTAAAATTTTGGTACCGACTGAAAATTAAATGAAGGTCTTGAAATATCAAAACCTCCTTCATAACATAATCTAATCTAATCTAATCTAATCACTCTTTACTTCACTACCTTCAGCAAAATACATTAAAATGAAAGAGCAAATGTTTGTATACGAAGCCTCTAAAGTACAGAATCTGGGCACTACTATCCACTTCCTTCAGGAAGTGAACCTATGTGTTCATTGCTGTGAATGTTTTCTTCAAGGTTTTTAAATTTTTCAATGATTGTATTGTAATTAAGGGACTAGTGAGATAACTAAAGATTAACAAATCACACTAATTATCCCAAAAACAAAACATTTTTTGAAGTGGTCAAGTTAAATGATTAAACCTTTACTAATGCAATTATATCTTCCACATTATATAAACCAACTACCCTAAATTAACAGATTTTTGTACACGATGAAAAAATTTAAAATACAAAGTTAAATTGAAAGGAATTGTAGAAGTATTTTGATCTGTTGCTCTGAATTTTTAAATCACAGTTTTTATAGAACTTTATCCATTTGAGTCAGTGTTACTCAAAAAATAAAACAACTGCAATTAAATAACACTATACATCTTTTGAACCATAGTTGTGAGTTTTATTGTTGTGTCTTTAGTAGAGTAAGTCCAACACCTTTATGTACAGGGGCAGTTCCAGCTGATCATTGGGGGAGGAGAGTTTTATATTTTTGTTTAATAATAAACATTTGATATTAGATTTTATGATTCATATACTGTAAATACAATACTATGAACTATTGTTTAAATAATTACATAATGAAAAAATTAAGTTTTGTCAATTTAAGGAAGCTTTAAGCACAAGCCATCTTTGAGAGGACTCCTTTGGGATCAAAAGTGCACGCAAAGGAGGCAGGGGGCTGGGGCACCAATGAAATTTTTAAAAGTCACCTGTAGCCTTAAGTAAAACTTAATATTCAATTCCCGATTCTCTTATTTTTAAAGACAATTTGATAAATTGTCCCGTGGTTGGGATAGATACTTGCAATCCTTCAAATCCGAAGCTTAACGAATTATTAGTCATTAGTGCGGGTCCGCCCACAAAACTTATCCGGGCCCCTTTACCTTGTGTATACCAAACTAGGAAGATTAGAACATTAAATATCAAAATATATGCCCTAAAAATAGGTCCTTTACTTGGGCCCGGCCGTATTGCGAACCTGAACGTTTACGCCACTGGGTTTCAAATTTATTCATCATAGATCTTTGACGCTCTAATTTCACCTTTGGTACATTTCATTTATTTACCAGTGAACTATAAAAAACGATTAACAGACGAGTGGACCAGTTGTCTATTACACTGCACACGCCAGTTTGCCACAATATATAAATCAATTTGGCGGGGGGATATACTACTTTTTTTAATACAGTGTTGAGACAATTTTGAGAAATTTCACAATTTTTCCGCTCGAGTCCTTGCATTTCTCTAGTAACGTCCTTGCGCTTTTGTTGCTCAGAAGCAACGAAAAGAAACTAGAAGCATGTTAAAATTAGTCTACCACCTGTAAGTGAAGTTCTAAACCCACTACTCACTAACACTTCATACAGCTAATGTAATTGTAACCGTACTTCACACGTACCTTGTATTAGCATTTTTCTACATGACCCTACATAAACAATTTCAAAGAGCCTGCATTGTCTACTTTCATCATATTTTAAATTAAACTTCTTAGTCTAATTTTAATCGCAGAAATACGCATGTAAATCTTTCTAGCGAGTGAAACGGCCCAAGCACAACTCAGCCAACATTTGTGAAATGCTAATAATTAAGTAGTGGATTTTAATGTTATCTTTTCTTTACACTTTAGAAAAAATGCATTTTTATAAACATTAATTTATTGTTATGAAAAAAATGAAAGGACCTTTTTTTTTTTTACAACCTTTTATTGCATTTTCTAGGACTGCAACATTCCAACCAATCCATTCCACCTTCTGCAGTCGTTTTTAAAGCATTTTTCGCTGATCGAGATTAATACCCTTCTAGTGGTACTTGCTTTAAGTATTTACGAGAACCAGAAAATCTTTTCCCCCAAAACTCCTTAGTAACCTATTCGATTTCTTCGCTCAGATCGTAAAGTAAGCTTTGTATGTAATGCAAGATTCCTATAACGTCTACCAGCTCTATTGTCGGTTCGGCTGATTACGCGATAACTAACAACAGATTTCCTGGTAAACCATTTCCCTGGTTTGCTACCCGAGTTTACTTGAACGAATGGAAGACTGCTAGATTACATGGGTCACCTATTCAACAGCTACTCGAGTCATTCATCTGAACAGGCTCTGAAAATTCTTAAGTCATTTTTAAAGCATTTATCGATCATTGGCGATTAAGGTCTTCAAAATCCGCCCCCCTCGCAATCATTTTTACGTATTATTCCCATAGCACGCCCACCAATTTGGTTTGGCATCGCTCACATTACTGAAGAAATCCGATATACGAGTAATATACTCACCATGAGCACCTGCTCGGGTGAGAACTCGCGGATGATCTCCGTGTCCTTGGGCTCGCCCTTCTGGATCTGGATCAACTTGTTGCCGTCGCGGGTGATGGTGGACTTCACCTTGCGCCCGTCGGGGGTCTCCTCGTCGAACTCCTCGCCCAGCTTGAAGGAGATGACCGTGTTCTTGAAGGTGGAGGTGGACTTGAGGGTGTACACGCCGTCGGCCTCCGTCAGCTCGATGACGGGCGACACGGTGCCGCCCAGCTTGCGGGTCATCATGCCAACGCCTGCAACAACGAAGATGAGTTTAAGTGGCGAAGCCGAAAAACTAATGAGAACACTCGCGTGGATACGGGATGTCAGAAATGGTACCCGTCCATCAGTGGCAGGGGCTGTTCCAGACAATTTTGTTGGGGGGGGGGGGAGAGAGAAGGGATCAAGGATGTTAAATAATTAACATTTTATATATTTTTGTAGTGTATATATACAATATTTTTCAAATTTTAAAGTTCTAACACATGTTTAGATCAATTTTGCCAAATGAAGGTAAAGTAAAACTGGGGGCCTTGGATTAGCCAATGTCAGAGGAGAAACAAGTGCGTGAGGGGGAGTCCATCTCTGACGACACGTAATGAGTGACACGATAGTACGTGAACTACAAAATAAACAACATTTGAACTGTCCAAAGTTTTAGTAGTTGTAAATTGTGGGTTAAATTTACGTATGATTGTACAATGAAACAAACCGCTGACATTTACTGGTTTCTTTAACATTCAACAGATTTTGCGTTCCACGTATTTTCCATTTAAGGGGGCTAGCACTAGTGTGAAGCGGAATACAAGTACCAGGAGACGACAGCATCTGACAAGGATCTCCAGCTCTTCCCGCGTCTCTTTCTTACTGCACTGCGCACTTTTCTCAAACTCAGGTGGCCATGCAACTTAGTGAAATTATTTCGCAACGCTTTCTCGATTTTCCGTTTCAAAATTAAGTTTTCCTTCCAATGTTTTCTATTAAACTAGAGGATTTGCGCACGTTTTACAACACGCATCTTTAATGTGTAATGAACGTTTTATTTTTAAATTCAAAATAACGTTAGAGAATTAAAAATAAGTTTAAAAAACGGAGTCATTTAAGCATGCCCAATTTTCTTTGAAATAACTTCTGAATATGCGAATGATCGCAAAATTTAAAAATAAGTACATAAATGGACTCCACAGTATTTTTAAGTACTTTCCACGATAGTTTAGAAGAGTTAAAGTTTTTCAACCCAGTGGACGTTCTAAAAATTTGTATTTTTACGATAGTACAGTGCATAGTCAGTTAAAAGCTTAGTACAAAGACTAACTTAATAGATTGCCACAGAGGACTCACTAATCGTAGTCGCCACTAAAACTGTCCTAAATGCTCGCTGTCAAGCTCCTGATGTGATCTACGGCGAGTTTTTATAAAACTCATCGATGTATAATCTATTTTTTCCATCTATTTTTGAAGCCGGTGTTGTGCGTTTGATGTTTTCACGTAGTCAACAATTTTACTAATGTAATTTTAAAAACCATAATTGGTTGTGGGCAGAGGTTTTATTAACATCGATGTTTAAATTCGGAGTACGGATGTTTTGATGGAGTATCTAGTGCCGAGGTTACGCACTGGTCGAGGCGCTTGTGGTGCTTCGGATCCGATGGCTTCGCAATTGCGGAGTGACGCGATTTGAAGTGGTCGACAGGCGTGGGTGGCAGTGCTCGTTTGGGTTGGGAGCTCTACGAGTTGCGCCATTGTTTCGTTAACGCGCGGTTTAGACGCTATTGCGAGAATTTGTCGAGGTGTTCCCTTGCTAACGACCTATGCAAAAAAGCTGCTTCTTTTCGTCTATTTTAAAAGACTATTGCACCACGTCTCCTCGAAACAACTATTCAATGCAAATTTAGATTCCGGTGCCAAAATATTCACTGGCACCATGAGCTGGCCACACTGATTTAACCATAGAAAAAATCCAAATTTTAGTATTTGCTACACTGAAATCCATTATAACTGACACCGCGATGACAAGAGAAAGTGGCTGCTACTCTATACCAAAAACCAAGCAAAGAGCTCTTACGTAATGGATAAAGAACACCTGGACACTATTTAGGTTGTTTGTTGTAATATCCGTTTCTGGAGTTTAACCAAAAATATATATCCGATTACTGTAAGGCTGAAATTTTACATAGGTACGGTGAATTTCAAATGCCTAGGAGTATTTTGAAATATAGGGCCAAAATGCAAAATTGTTCTGGGAATATTTTGTTCTGTCGAAACTTGGAACCTCAGACTTTTAAAAGCAGGTATAAATTTACAAATTAAAATTAGTTCTATAGTTTTTAGTCATTTGAAGTTTCCATACTATAATTTGTCTTTGTGAAAACAAAGTACGTGAGCATTATGACACGTCAGACCAATGCGCGTTCAAAGCTGATGAGCAGCAATTTGTAACGACGGCTCCGCCCAGAGCGTCGAGAGAAACTCACGCTCACCGACTTGACCGGCAGCGTTTCCAGCATTGCCACCGACTAATTATTGTAACTGGAGTGTGTGCTATATATACTCTTACATTTTAGGACAGTTATAAAACTCGTCAGCTCCTTAAAGAGCACAGAATTTACTGCAACGTGACCATTGTGATCTTAGCACCACGATAGTTTAAAAGAGATACAAACTAGTACGAACACTTAACGAGGGAACGGATTAAAACAACTTCGCCACTTAGAAATCAAGCAAACAATTAAACAGTCCTGTTTGATCCACCTGTTACGTTCATGTAATAAATTGAAAGTCATACGGCTAACACTACAGATTATTAAAATCTGATGTAAAATAGCATAAATTGGTTGTTGCCAGAACCAGAAGTGGTCAATTCAAGCCAAACAACTTTGTCGTATCGTAAACAAAATTGAGAGCATCTTCATTTCGATATGGTTTTATTTTATGATTCAATTATTTTTCTGCCGAACACTTCATATTTTGCTACATTTCAATAAGCTAGTCTCCTTTATATACACTTTAGATCTGGGGATTTGCCATAATGTTAACCAAGTAAACGATTGTGTCTTCCCCTGGTCCTAAATGGGAATTAAAACTGCGTAGAACAATCGCGCGTTCATCAACTACATGGTATCTGATACGCCTGAATTCATCACCAATAATATACAGATAAGATCCATTATATAGAATTCTCCAACCGATTGTGGCAACACCCGAATCAGTTGTAAAGCCTGTGTCGAAACCGAGCAATGAAAAAAAAAAAAAAAAAAAAAAAAGAAAAAAAAAACACCGTTCTACGTAATTCAAGTCTCGCCTTGCGTAACGACACCGTGAACAAAAACCCCTTAAAAAAAAATCCTCCGCGCAGAGCGTCTATGTTCTCAGCCCGTGTCCCTCGGCTGGGGCGCCCCCACACGTAACGCGGCGCCGAGATTCGACCCCACGACCTCCGGCGCGCGAAGGCGACTGAGCCTAATCTGTTCCAGCAGCGGCGGCGGCGGCGGCGGCGGCGGCGCAGCAGGCGTGCACAGCTGCGTTACATCCCGGCGCGCAGAGGGGAAGAAGGAGAAAATTTTTTCAATCGTTCTTTTAACAGACTATATTTCCTCACCACAAAGGAACTTTCGCCATCAATTCATATGAAACATTTATAAAATTTTGTAGAATAGTGTACTCTTGTGTGAAACAAACTGTACTTCTTGGAAGTACAAAACGTTTTTACAACTTAACCCCTTGTTTGAATCAAAATTGTTTGACCCTCTTGCACAGAATTTTAAACAATATTCTCAACAAACTTTACAAGTACGATTTTTCTGAGCTTAATAGTGTATAAGTGGCGTAAATCTATGCTTTATCGCTGTTCACACAGTAATTCGATTGATTATTTGTTAGATATGATTGCCAAGCCAGTTATTTCTTCAACGATGAATAGAGAACATTGACAACGACCTATGTCCACAGTTTTTTCCAACTCCGCACTCCGAGAAGATCAGTTCACATCTCCACCCCACCCCGCACGCGGTGGCAGCAGCTGCCCAAAGCGGGCGGCGGGGAGGTGTCCGAGAGGAAGGGGGCGAGGCCGAGGCGGGGCTCTTCCTGGGCGGAGTCTACGACAAAAGCAATTCGGGATTGCCGGCCCGGTCGATCAAAGCTCCCGCTTCGCCAGTTTCCGATCAATGAAAGAACGCTTCATTTTAACCGCTATCTTCCGTTGTAATCTCTATGAACACACTTAGGTGGAAATGAGAAGCTTCTAGTCTGCATTAACAAGATTGCTAGGTCTTTGAAAGGGTAATTCTTAGGAATATTGCAATAGCAAACCTCCAAGGAAAAAGCGCTTTTTCGACATTGTAGTGAGTATATAAAGAAAGTCCTGAGGAACAATTACCTGTATCCAAAAAAAGTGGGAAGCAAGTTTATCCAATATTACGAGAAAAGATTTGCTGAATGTCAAATGAAAAAACCCTTTACGTCAAAGATTACATATTTGTTGTAAGAATGTCAGCAATGAAGGGCAGTATCTGACGTTTTCAGCAAAGTTTGCAGTTTCCCGCTTGAAATTTAATACAGGCGCCGGACTAACCAAGAGCGACGAAAACTTCCGACAGCAAAGCAAGTTCAAGGTCTGGAATTAATTCGTGCACGTGCAGGCGGTGCACGCTAGCGGCATGCAGGAAAGCTGTCGCTTCCTCTGAAGGAAGAACTACAGGCGACATTATCGATTCCATAGCTATTTCTTTAGTCCATCTTACATGATTATCTCAAGCTGTACATCGACCTAGGCAAAATTACACATTGCTTCCTGAAACTAGCAACTAGTATTTTGTGTCAAAACATTTAATATCAATTAAAATATAACACCTTTAATAACGTTTACGAAGTCCAATTCGAGTTCTAGGAATAAAAATTTTGGAACCTGTATAGGATTTTCTTCCGGGAAATATTAATTTTTAAATGACTTCTTTTATAGGCAGCACATTTAGGATGACATTTCATGAGATCGAAACATTACCAAGGACACAACTCGACGAGGTGGAGTTCAGTGGTTTCCCATCGCGATTCGTCGACTGATGACCTTTGCATACTCCCTGGTTTATTGGAGGTACACACTCACGGGGAGGAGTCCAGTTGATCAGAAGTACGAGAAAACTTATAAAAATATGCAAGGAATTGGAAATTATAAATTATGACGAACAGATTGCGCCTAATTAAACCGTATTGTGTTGCTTATATATATTAAAAACTTCACTTCATTTACACGGAAATC